GTAGAACGGTAAGATGGACTTCAAGAAAAATGAAGCAGGCAAACTCCTAACCACCGTTTTTTCAGAAATATCAAAGAACTTCGAAGTATAAGAACGTAAAACAACATTCAAGTTTGTCACACCCAATAAACTATAAATGAGTAGGACTTGTTAGTAGATTTCTGTTTTAATTTATTGCGCACTATTCTATTGCGAAAACATTAAAATATTAGTCAATTTTTGGTAGCCAAAGCAGATTCCACCGAAAATCCGCTTTGGTGGACTGGACTATGCAATTTTATAGTCACATAAGAAAGTTACTATTGAACGGTTTGTGATTTGCCCCCCAAAGTGAAAAGGTAAAGGCGAATTTGCCCCATTTGGAAAAATTACATGAACCGAATAGGTTTTGATGAGTGCTCCAAAATCTACGAGTAAGGCCGTAAACAAGTAAAATATTTTGAAAGTATTTTTCATGGATTCCCTTTTTGCACCGACTTACCTCCCCCCTAAGGTTTCTCTCCGCTTTTGCAATTCTATGTGCTCTAAAGCCAAACGCATTTGAAACCATTAACTATGAAATTCCCGGCGCTTAATTCTTTATAGCCGATGTGCAATGGAAATTGCGGATGCACTACCCTCCATGGGTGTATTAACGTTTCTACTGTCAAAAGCCTTTTAACAGTCAATGTAAGACTGGAACCTCCAACTAAAGACTTGCAAATTTTAAAAGCAATATAGAACTCAGATGGAGAGGGAGCGAGTTGCTTGAAATTTTGACAAGTTAATACTGTCCGTATCGCAAAATCAATGTAATTTTGGAAGTGAAATCATGATGTTGAGGAGCAGTGAGATTTTGCCTTGCGATTACTCGCTCAACACGCCACTATGTCCATTTTATTCTCAAAACCGAGTAAAGGCGATGCTCTGGTTGTCCTAGGACTACTGTCTACTACAAACTATTCGTCTGAAATGTCCTACTAAAGTAACATTTGACTTACGAAACCAAAGCCTGCAAATAATCAGCCGCTCGAGGCCCTTGCTAAGGGATTGTCATGCATTATCTAATGGCACTCTCTCCACTTCAATGCAAATCTTTAACTAGGAAGGTCTTGAGTAATTATTTTTTACGAAAATCTATGTCTTAATGACGCGTCTTCCAGCGATATTAATTCGCTGGAATGTTCCCACCTATTGGTTACAAGCAAATAAATATAAAAAACCGAATGTGCCCTTTACACTTACTAACTTCAATCAGAATTTGTTTAAGAAGATGCAACAGGAAATCCAAATTTCACCCCTTCCTGAACCTATTTAAGTCTCCACTTGTACTCTTACCATAGCCCCGGTTATCAATCTAAACTTAATCTCCCTTAAATTCAGAACATGACCGCCTGTGTAAGGGTAATTTATGGTTGCGCATCCCATTCACTAAGTTTCACAACGAGTCCTCCACCCAACCCGCTTTATGAAAGGATGTCTTATTTAAAGATCTGCTCGTTCTTGTCCTTCTGACACTGATTATCGCGTAGCCTATTTTGAAGTTGTTTTAGTCATGATGGGTTGCGTGCTTTTTTAACGAGCTTTTTTCTGACCACTAAAAAACATATGTACTGTAAAAAGTAACTACTTTAATAGTATGCGTTTTTACTATTGATATCTACTACTTTATAAATTAAAATACGTTTTATGGAAAAAAACGCACGAAAATTATCTCTTGTACTCGTTTTGTAAAAAATGGTGCCTGCTTTAAATTTTACATTTAAAGAAAGGGTATCCTTCTGTTTAAGAAAAAATTCCAATTATGAACTTTTTTACAACTGTGAGGTGTTCAT